AAGTAAAAACCGCACAGCAGAAAACAAAAGAAAACTTACAAGAAAACAAAGAAAAGATGGATGGCTCTCAACACAATGCTCCATGTTTATTACATAGGCTTTCTTGAATTGGAAACGTATTGCTGTATATTTGAATCCTCTCTTACATTCTACTGTGCATATGGCAATGCTTTTTTTTTCTTATCTTGTTTTAAGTTTCAATATTTAAGTTTATAATATGTTTCTTTTTCTTTTCTTATTTTGTATTTAAGTTTAAAATAAATTAATTTTTAAAAAAGATTACCATTGCTTCTAGTATGGGAACAAAAATCGACCAAATTATAGCTACAATCACTAAATCTATAACTTCGGAGACCAAACAATCCCTCCTAGGCTGTAGTTCCCTTATATCTATTATCTTCCACTATTAAAATGCAAGCTCCTGAATCACTGAGGGCTGGGGGAGGGGTGTTCTGCTTTTGTAAATGATAAAGAATCCCTAGCTTTTTAAACAAACAAGTGCTTTTTAATTCAAATATTTTCATTCTGCAGAGTATTTAAAAAAGGCATGTGGATAAATTATTTATGCTCTGACCTTTTATATTCAGGTTACATATCCATTTTAAGCTTATGGTGGTATATTATATAAAATATTGCTCTCAACCTAATTTCTGCCAAACTACTTTCCAATTTTCCCCATAAGTTCCTGTCAAATGGAGAGTTCTTTTCCAAGTAATTTCTTTTCTGGAACACTGGGTTATTGAGTTTGATTGCTTCTGATTCTTCCCTTTCTACACTGCTCATATTTTAATTCATGCTTCAATAATCCTCTGAGTTCAGGAACTAACTGCTATTATTTCCTGCCTCTTAAAGAGGGGGAAACTGAAATATGAAAAATACAATAATAAGAAAATTGCCTATATTTTCTATTTTCTGCATGTAGTAGTATACCCCATATCAAGTACTAATCAAGCTTTTTCAAACTATGATGCATAAGCAGAATCTTGAATACACAAACACACAGGGAGACAGGGAAACAAAAGAAGAGTACAGCTTTCCTTTTCTGTTTGCTTGTTTTATATGAGAAAGGCCAAAGAATTGTACTGATGAAGCGATGACAGGGAAGAACAGCAAGCATTTTAGAAGAGATGGGTAGCCAAGGAGGACAAAAGTGGTTAGTGTGGGTGTTGTCACTACAGTGGTAACACAACCAAAGAATCATTTGGGATTCTGAATTTCCAGTCTTTAAATGATTTGAAATTCCTCTGCAACAAGTTTGAAGAAAGCTATTCTGGATGACAATTCTGTTACATTCTAGGGAAGGGTGTAGGCAAAAGTTTTCTAGAAACCAAAACTTATAGAAAAGATGTAAGCTTCTTAGTTGCATATAAATGACTAATTTAGTCATTTGGCAACTGTATGTTAAGGACCTATTTTATGCAAAGTACTCTACTTGACACTTAGGGAGGTGAAATATCTCGGATCTGATGGAACTTGTAATCTAACAAGGATATTATACCCCATCATCTGAATAATTCTAATTGGCTTACAATTGTCTTCTCTTTCCTCTTTACCCGTTTTCCTATATCAAATCAACACCTAATATGACACAATGAACCATTTATCTATGTGATTCACAAAGGATCAAATTTAATCCCAAATCAAATTTAATATGATTTTTAAGAAAGTTTTAAAAGATATTAGCAAAAATAAATAAGGATACTTGTTATTTTTCTGTCCATTTGACACCCAGCCATTGAATAGGAATTGTGCAGTGGATAGAGCCCTGGATTTGGAGTCAGAACTTCAGAGGCTTACTAGCTGTGTGACCTTGAGTAAGTCACTCAACTTCTATCTGCCTCATTTATCAAATGAAGATAGTCCTAGCACCTACCTCTCAGGATTGATGTGAGGATAGGAGGAGATGTTATTTAGATTCAATTTAATTTTCAGATCTGCATTCTCTTCCCACCTCATTGAAAAAGGAAGAAAAACAAAATCCATTACAAACACAGATAGTCAAGGAAATTATAAAGTACTATACAAATGCTAGCTATTTATTAGTGTTATCAACCAAAAAAAAAAGACTAATATTATTTGCATTTCCTTGTTAAAATAAGGAATTCTATTTCAAAGTTCCTATTAGACAATAAACAAAGAGTGTGATTCCAACTTTTTCATTTCTTTATGAGGCATATATGCAGAGGTTAGGGTCATAACTACACTGAATCATTTGGGGGCACTCCCTCATACAGGGATTCAAATTCAATTAAATAAGCATTTATTAAGTGCCCAAGATAGACATTTTGCTGAGCGCTGGGGAAACAAAGACAAAAATGAAACAGTCCCTGATCTCAACTCTCCATTCCTGCCTTTTCAGTCTTCTTACACTTTATTCCCTTTCACAAAATTTATGAAAAAGCAACACTAGCTACTTGAAATTCTTCAGACATGGCATCTCCTGTCTTTGCCTTTGCACTAGCAATCTCCCATGCTTTTGGTTGATTCAATACAGACTGTCTCAATTGACGGCATTATTAGGGAATAAAGCATCTTGTTAGATACCTTAAGTGGAGTGCTTTGATTCACTGGTTCAATCAAGCTCCACCCTTACACAGTATATGCAAAATGTATATAAAGTCAATACAAGATAATTACTGGCAGGAAGACAGAGGTTGGGGGCCTGAGTTGGATAAGGATCTAGCAAAGGAGACAGATAAGATAGGTAGGAGAAGAACAAGGAGAGGTTGGTACCCCAAAAACCTAAAGAAAAGAGAGTATCAAGGAGAAAATGAGCAAGTGTCAAAAACTGCAGGGAGGTCAAGGAGAATGGGGATTGAGAAAGGGCAATTGGATTTGGCAACTAAGAGACCATTCCTAACTTTGGAGAAAGTAGTTTTGATGGAATGATAAGGCCAGGTTAAGAAGAGAGTGGGAGGAGAGAAAGTGGAGGCACCTGCTTTTTGAGAAGTTTAGCTACAAAGGGCAGAAGAGATACAGGACAATAATGAGTGGGGATGGAAGGATCAAGTAAAGGGTTTTTGTTGTTGTTTGTTTGTTTTCAGAATAGGTGAGAAATAGGCATGAGAAATGAGCATGTTTGTAGGCAGCAGAAAATGAACCAGTAGGCAGGGAGAGATTGAAAATGAGTGATTGAGTGAGGATGACAGAGGAAATAAGATGGAATGAGATTGTTTAAATGGGTAGAGAAGTAAAGCCACCTCATCATGTGAGAACGATTGAAGGAGACTGGACAGAAGGCAACTGAGTGAAAAGAGATAAGAAAGAAGGGGAGAAAAGGGAACTCATGGCAACTTTTTGCAAAATATGAAGCAAGCTTCTCAGTGAGAGGATAGGGGAGGCAGAGCCATGAGAAGTTTGAGAAGGAATGGTATGGTTTTTCAAGTGCTGCTGTGGAGAATGGGATACTCAGTTGATAAGGGAGGTATAGAAAGATTGCCTAGCTGCAAGTTGTGTAACATAAATTTGTAGTGAAAATGGTTGCATGATTTTTTCTATCTTTATTCAGTAGCCCATGTGTAGGAATGAAGGTGGGAATGATCCAAAGCTGAGGCTTAACCAGGTATAACTGGAAATAAAAGAGGAGGCTAGGGATTCAAGAGAGGAAGACAGTGTAGAGTTGAAATGATTCAACAAGGAGTCAAGATAGGGAAAAGAGAATAATGCAGAGCAGAGAATTGAGTGGTCAAGGGATTGAGGTTGTGGTGCAGATCAAGAGTAGGGTTTTGTAAGGGAGGAGTGAAAAGCCAATAGGTTATGGTCAGATAAAGGGATTTCAGAATCATTAAATATAGAGGTGGTACACTTGTGGGTGATGACAAGATCAAAGATACATCCATCTTTATGTGTAACTGAGATGGGGTAGAAGAGTATTTCATGGGAAATGAATAGGTAGAGGAAGTGAGTGGTTAGGGCATTTCAGGGAGAATCAATATATTTGTTGAATCCCCTAGTATTAAGGCAGGAGTTGGTAGGAAGGAGAGGAAAAGTGTAAGCCAGGTATTGAGGAAAGAAGGAGAGTGACCTAGGGTTCCGTAGACAACAGCTACCAGGATTTTGATTGAGTGGTACATACGAATAGCATGAACCTCAAAGGAGGTGAGGTTCTGTGTAACAGAGTTGGGGGAGAACCTGGAAATGGTAATGGGAAACAAAAAGCATTTCAACTTCCTAGCTTCAACCAGTGAGCCAGAAAGAATGAATGAGGTTCTAACCAGTACTGGATAGAGTTGCAAGGGAGGCTGTGTCATCTGGTGGGGAACCAGATTTCAGTAATAGCTAGTAGATGGAAAGGATGAGAGAGGAAAAGACTTAGGATGAAGGGAAGTTTGTTGCCTGTGGAAGAGACATTCCAGAGATAATAGTGGAAGGGCTGGGTGATGTTTTGTTGAAACTTTGTGATGGGAGCATTGAGGGAAATGAGAATAAGGAATCAGGTGGCAGGGATATGGAATGGGGTTTTGATGTTTATCTACAGGGGTTCAGAATCACAGGGATGTGAAGAGTATGACTAGGTGTTCATCACTGAAAGGAGGATGCTAGTCCTTCCCAAGGAGAACAGAGATCAGTCTAGAAGCAAGTTTAGTATGAGATGGCAAGCATTAGGTCAGATGGAAGGCCCTGTTTCACTACTCTTCTTCCTTCTAAAGGGAGGAGATTAGCAGGAAAAGGGCACAGCAGGAGATGGAAGACTTACTGGCAGAGCTGGGGAAAGAAGTCACATTCCCCACTAATTTTCCATTTCTTCTCTCGTAGAACAATTGCAACTAAGGTTTGAGATCAAAAGTTGCTCCTCTTTGCACAAAAGATTCACCACACCCCATTTGGGAACTAGGCTGGTAGCAGGAGGTTGATGCTGGAACAGATGAAGTCTTTGCTTTGGGGTAGATGGAAGATGCCTGGCCCAGTCCCTTGCTGCCATTCTTTAGGAGACATTGCACCCAGCAAGAGACAGAAGGGTATAAAGCTTGGTCAAAGGAACATTTGGCTCCTTTTCTCACCTGGGGAAGCTGTTGATGAAATGGTAGTAGGAAGTGATAGACTCTCTACACAGGTCTCATGTAGAAGGTGACCTTTGACCTGAGCTGTAAAGAAAATCAGGGATTTTAGTAGAGGTGAGGAGTGACAAAGCAAAATGCACTGCTCTCCCCCCAAAAAAAACCAACTTGGTGAAAAGACTGGTTTCAATTTCTTAATATGAACTTGTTAAGTATTCTAAATGATACTTAATTTTCATGAAGCTTCTGAAAATGCAGTTCTGTATTTCATTTAGAACTTCAGAGTCTCAGTAACAGCAATATTGTAATGATGATCAATTGTGACTTAGCTACTCTGATCAAGACAATGATCCAAGATAATTCTAAAGGATCCATGATGAAAAGAGAGAGAACTGATGAACTCTGAGTACAGACTGAAGGACACTTTTTTCACTTTATTTTTATGTTTGTTTATTTTTTGCTTGTGTTTTCTTTTGCAACATGGCTACTATGGAAATATATGTATAACTGAAATCCTATTGTTTGTCTTCTCAAAGTGTGGGGGAAGGGGGACAGGAGGGAAAGAATTCAAAATTTTAAAAATGAATGTTAATTTAGAAAATGTAATTGGGAAATATTTAATGAAATAAAAAAGTTCTTAAATAAATGTCAGTGTCAATGCTATAAAAAACAAGCGATTAGAGAAGAATTATTAGGTAGAGCCTACATTATATAAGGTGGAAAAAATATTAAAACAAGTATTAAGGAAAAAAGTACGGAAATATAGTGGAGGCTAAGGATTCCTTAAAGTGGAGGAGGAGGAAAATTAACATATAAAATGGAACAGAGAAAATTTTAGTCAGATGAAAAATAAGGTCATTAAACAGAAAAACTTAGAATTATAGGTATCTTATATAATAGAGACACCTACTGGCCATTTAATTTCACTCATCTTACTTAAAATCTTTTAAATATAGAATTCTATCACTCATTTTATCCAGGTCCTCTAAATAAATTAAGCATTCACATCACGAATATTATGCATGATTTACGCCAGTGAATTACATTTTGTTCTTTGAGTCTAGAAAGAAAACTGTGCTACCACGTCAACTTTGCTACAGTCATTTTAATAGATTTTTAAAGTAAACATTTTGGTGCCTAATCTGCTATTAAAGTATTACTTTAAAACTCACTGAACAAGTCTATTAAATAGAATGAATTATTCCCTGCTTTTAAAGTGCATAATAATGTTGACCAAAATAGAAAGACAAGTAATTCAAGAACATAGTCATTCCTCAACTAAATGATAAACTTACTTGGCATCTGGGATCATGTCTTATACTATCTCTGCATCCCCTGAAGTACCCAATACAGTACTGTGCAGAGCAAGCACTCAATAAATACCTACATGATTGGTTTACTAATTATGGTAAATGCATTTTCATGGGCTTTTTATCACGATTATAATATGACATGTATAATTCAATTATATTTTGAAATCCTAATTTTTCAATAATATTTTATTTTAATTTGAAGGACTAGAGTTTTTAAGTTTCAAGAGAAAATGCATGTTGTGCTTGTCAACATCTTAATTAATATATATGTAAATGCCTATGCAAATATATTTATAAAATTTAAAACAAAGAATATGTTAGGACTATTTTTTCATTTCATTTCAGCAAATGGTCAATTAGAACTAACTGGTCAATTTTCAAGCTGGATCTCATCAATTTCATTGCTGGCAGACACTATTCCATGCTTTTCCTCTTCATTGTGACACACTGAAAGGCAAGTGAACAAGATTTCAAGAATACAGATCTAGTTGGTTCACCTTTTCAAAGAATGTTCCATTTATGAAAAAAGTTGTTAATCTTCAACATTTGCCCACTTAACTTTGACAGCTTCAAGCATTCTTATGACTTTATTAGTAACTTCATTTTCACTTTCGCATTTCATGACTGCCCAGTAGAGAAAAAAATGAAAGGCCTCTTGCACACAAGTTTGTGGAGCAGAAGGTATCTTACTAGGTGTTTCACTGATCTTATTCATCCTACCATTGTAAAGAGCTCCCTATGCATTGCTTGCATATTTTCATTGTGTACCTTTAAACTCAAGTTTGGTGTTACAATTAGGCCCCCAAAGTGTAATGCGAATCCTTTCTGCTCTAAGCCCAAGCACGCAGTTAGTGATGCGGTTTAGCGAGAAAATATGCCCGAATGTCTGCAGTTGCTGTGGGCTGAAAAAGATTACAGTTTTTGTTGGTCATGGAAACCTAACCCCCTATTTCCTACAAATACAACATTCACATGTTTTACTTTCATGACATTTTCTAGGAACCTTACCCCTGCAATTGACTATATGTCAAAATTAACATTACATTCCTTTTCTAAGATAAAAGCCCCCTTTAATGTACTAGCATGATTATAAACTTTGAGCTTCTCTATCTCGGCATTTTTATCATTAACTGCCCTTTCTAGCTTTTAATTAAACAAACCTTTAATTACATATACATTCCAGATTTTTTCTAGGTATTGAAGTCAAGCCTATTAGACTATAGTGGGCAGTTTATAGTCTATTCCTTGTTTCGAAAATTGAGATATTTGTCCTCTATTCTTACAATGCTGCGTATTTTTTTCTAAGATCTTTCAAACATCACTGACAGCAGTTCACCAATCATGCCTATAGTTCTTTCCATACCCAAGGATGTATTTACTTGGTCAAAGTGACCTGCTTCATCAAGGACAAGTAAGTGCTTTCTATCACCTTACTTAATTTTGTGTGTCAACTTCCTGTTACCCACTTTTGTTCAGTTATTTCCAGATCAAGGAAAATAAAAATTAAGCCTCTGCTGTCTCAGCTGTTAGCACCATGTAGTGCTGTGGTAAGAGATGTATACAAGGGAGCTACTTATCTCTGCCAAGGCATGTGAGCTCTAGAATAACACCCCCTACTTCCCAAAGAGATTGGCTTCCGACTGACAGACTGCAAACTGAGAGTGTCAGAAGAGAACTGTTACCATCTGTTGGAGAACCACAGGCAAAGTGACACCACACAAGATAGAAAGGGTTCAATGATAGCAAACTGATGGGGAGCAATGATCCCACCATCTGCTAAGAATGAGAGAGAACAGAGGTAGAGTAATGAGTCATACTGTGCTAGAAGAACTATGGAAGAGAATATGTGGAGCTTCAATAGAAAAATATATAAGATGCCATATAAGACACAGAATCTACCACGACAGTTAATAACTTGGGGCTTTATAGGGCTTCAGAAAAGGCTGCTCCTAGAAAACATATTTTCTCAGAGTTTTGTTTAAGTCCTATTTATTTCCTTTAATCTGCAAATATATTTGTTCATTCTTTGAGACTTCTGAATTATGTGTACAAGGAGAGTTAGTAAAAAATACCACGGACAGTGTCAGATAGTAATGTTCTTAAATTCTCTTAAAGGTATAAGGAATCAGAAAAGTGAAAAATCTTCCAAAGCATAGCTAGTTCTATCAGAAAATCCTAGATTCAGATAACAATTTTGCAAAGCTTCTGACAGAAGGGTTATGCTCATGATTTTTTTATGGTTAGTTAAGTATGGGGTAGAAGGAGGAGTTGGTTAGGACATCCATTAACAATTGATTCTCCCACCCCAACCCTAGTCCAGTTGATTAAAAAAAAACACAGAAAGGAAAGGTATAATAGAGACAAGGTGTTAATATGTTCATCAAAATGCAAAGAAAATGTGAAGAACTTCTCGGATAGAATTACAGAACATCTAGCTACTGCTTGGCCAATGCTGTCCCAGTCATTCTTCTGTATCTGGTGCAATCTGGTGGACTCAAATAGCTCAAGAGTTCCAACAAACAGTCTTTCTACTAAAAACATATTCCAATATTATCAGGTACAAGAAGTTTATAAGATTAATAAGATTGAAACAGATTAAAAATTGCTGGAAAGGAAGTTCCCTAGTATCTCAGGAAATTTCTGCAAAAGTCCTAAATCTGATATTATACTCTTCTTTCACGAAGGGCCCATAGCTTCTGAGTATCCCCAGTACCCCGGCATAAAATGTAGGTCATCCCCCTGGAAACCTTTAAAATGAAGGACACAAACAATATGACAGAAAAGTAAAATGTTAGAAGGAATATGGAACTTGAGAAAGTGGTGGCTGAAAGCAGCATAGCCAACACTGTTTGAAGGCCTTGGTTGGTATAAACCTAGAGGATTCATTTCAAATTCTATTATTTTGTGGGAGCTTAAAAGTTGTTTTGTTGTTGTTTTTATAAAATCAGCTTTAATATGCAGGTTATCCCAAAAGTCTCACAGCAGTTTTAAGCTTTGGTGAGCTTAAAGCTTGAGTTTTGATAAGGTTAAAACTTCACTGAACTTTTATGAAATGCTGTTTTGTTAGTTCCAAGATTCTATGACTCTGCATATCAAGGATGGAAAAAAAAATGCCACCAAGGTGTAATTTGAAAGCTATTTAGATGCTGTAAATTCTAAAACTTAGGTTGTGCTACTAAATGTATCAATATGTGCCAGACTGGAACCAGAAGACCAGGTTCTAGCACTATGCATCTCTGCCATTAAAACATCATTGAAAAGCTCTGAATTTCACTCTTTTTCCATCTGTAAAATGAGGGAATTGGACTAGTTGATCCCTAAGTCCGGATCCAACTGTAACATTCTATGATTATATCATTTTAGGATTTCAGAGGGAGCATCAAGGCAGAATGCTGGAATCCTGGATCTAAAAAGGAACATTATCTATCATCTGGTCCGGAGGCTCTTAAGGAAAACTGTATTTCAGTATTATTTAATACATTTAGAACATATTCGGAGAGGTCCATAGGCTGGGGCAAAGGGGTCCATGACACACACAAACACACACACACACAAAAACTCCTTATTTTAAGCCACGCCCCCCCCTTTTTAAACAAACACCTATAAAATTGAGTGTTTTAAAAGAGTTAGCTAGGGCTGGAAAACCAGCTCTCCAGTCTCCCAGGTAAAAGTTCTTTCAAATTACCGTAAGAATGGATTCTTCAAAACACCCGGTCCTTTCATCTTGCCTTGCCTATAGGGTGACGTCAGTCTTTCCCTAAACTGTGGCCCCACATTCCCTCCCTTTCGGGGTCCACAGCCCAGGCTAAGGGATGCACATGAGGGCCTTTGGGGGAGGGGGGCACGTGGGGAAAGGGAGAGAAGTGAGGAGGAGGAGGATGGCGAAGACGGGTAAAAAACTACTGCCGCGCCTGTGGACAAAGAAGCAGACTCGCGTGGGCAGTGTCCGTGACAAGCAACCGTCAGCCTCAAAAGCCTCTCCTCCCCCTCACCGCGAAGGTGAAATTGGGGAAGAAGACCCGGAGAACTACATCTCCCGTAATGCCTAGCGGCGGAAGGTGTTCTGACAGGTTTTATTTGTTTTCGGGATTAAAAACAAATACGAGAAGAACAAAAAACCTCCCGCCCTCCAGACTGCTTTCCGGGTAAGGCACGCGCGTATATTGTTTACGCCCTCATTGGCGGAGGGTGAAGCTGTAGTCCCCGGTCCTTCCGCCTTGCCTGCCGAAGGGAGATATAGGGAGATGTAGTTCCCACTCGCCGGGAGCCGCCTCTCTGGACGTAGCTGGGTACGGGAGGGGGTGGGGGAGGGGGCAAAATCTGCCTACATTTCCCAGAGAGGACCGCGTTACCGGCGGGTGAGCCATTCTTTGGTGACGTTACGATTTGTGCTAAGATACAGTCAGCATCTGGCTGCCCCTGGAGCCGCATTACCATGGCGGGGGAGATGACAATTCTGGGTGAGTGACCCCGTTCTGGGTCCCCTTTTTCGGGACGAATGGGGGCGATCGGGTTTTGTCGTTATGGTGGTGGATGTCGCTGGGCGTCCCTTTCAACCAAGTGTCGCTGGGATGGGCCCCGGGAAGGTTGATAGAGAAAGGGAGGGGACGCTACCTGCTCTCGTGGAGGGAAGGAGGCATTTCTGACGCTGGCAGGGAGGGAAGGGGGCGGTGACGGCCCCGGTACTGGACGCAGCTGATGTTTGTGTGAGAGCTGCAAGAATCCCGCTAGGCTTTGCCCAAGCAGAGAGAGGGATGAACAAACTGTATTTTAGCATCTTCTGTGAGCGGAGCATCTGTCTGTGCTGCTAGGAGAGATGCCGGATTCAGGCAGAAACTGTCCTCTAGGAGCGAAGCAGTCTTAATTGGAGATGTCCCACACTGGTCTTAATTGGAGATGACCCACACTGGTCCTAATTGGAAATGACCCACACTGAGGTGGCCGCAGCACATGCTGCTATGTGTTAAAAGCGGAAGAAGTTCCGAAACAAAGTGCTCTGTGAGCTGCGAGGGATGAGGGCCTCTTGCCCAGGGGCGTCAGGCAAAGGCCCCCCTGTTGCATTTGACCTTGAAAGAATGGCAAGAGGGCAGCACCTCCTCTGGAGAGTCACTTGGCTTCTGAATCAAAAAGACCTGGTGTAAAGCAGCCTGCCTCTGCATTGTGTCTGGCTGTGAGATTTGTGTCTCTCTGTGGATCAGGGAAAGTCACTCAACATCTCTGTGGCCTGAGGGAAATTCTGGGGACTCAAAGTCTTAAAGCAAGTGGGGATCTGCTCTGAACGAGGTACTTTCCATCCTGGGACTTCCCTATGCCAACAAAATTGCAGGTCTGTTTGAAAGGGGTGAAGGTGTTGCCAGCAGGGATTAAGCAGAAACTGGGTCCCTATGGAAACATCTTTTAAATTACCAGGTTGGTAGCTGTGGACATTCAGATTTGGAAGAAGTTGTAGATGAAAGGAAAAAACATCATGTTTCTTGTTTGAGGACTCTTGGGTGTTGAATTAACTGTTAAGTAATCCTGAAAAGATTTGTAAAGCAGCTTTTATATTTAAGGCCTTGCCGACTTAGTGAAGACTGAATAAATGCTCTCCAGAATCCAATAAATGGTATTTCTTTTGCTCTTAGGTGGGAGTTAATATTGCCAGCTTCAGAGGTGATGAAATGTATCTGAAGTTTCGCCCAAAGAAGGGAGGGAAAAAAAGATCTACAGTTGGCATAGTATTTATGAGTTGGTTATAGAACAAGTTGTTAATTACCTGATTATTTGGGTAGAGTATGAATTGAGTGCTTGTAGGTTACTGCTATTTAGAAAACCAAATACTGGAAGAACCAGGGTCACAGAGTTGGAAAAAATTTCATTGGTTGTCCATTCTAACTCATAGCTGGAAAGAATCACTACTACAAGTGTAGTCATTTAGAACTATGGGCAAAGACTCCAAATAAAGAGGATTTCACTACCTTCCGCCATTGCTTCTGGTTCAACATTCTAGGATTTTTCTTCCATGAGTCATCCTCTTAAAAACTTGACAGCTACCCTATCCCTACTAAGTCTTCCATTGTTCTAGCTAAATATCTCCAGTTCCTTCAACCTGTCCTTCCATGACATTATCTTTGCCTTCTCCGTTTGGTTGCTTGCTTCTGGGCATGTTCTACTTATCATTCATAATCTTTGGGCTCAGAATGGAGCAGATCATCCCAAATGTAGTCTGATCAGGGAATTTATGCTGTCACCTCTTTCTTTTGGAAGGATGCCTCTCAGTGCAACACAAGATGACTTTAGACTTTTTTAGTTGTTGTAACACAAAGTAACTTCTTTCTTCAGTATTTAAATGGACTGTTTGTACTACACTCTCACATAGTCCTAATATGTTGCCTTGGAAATGTCAGTCTTAGGTACATGAATCATCTTAACACTCTAGATTATAAATTATTTGGGGATAGGAATTCTGACCGCTTTTTCCTTTTTTAACCTTCCTATCACCCCAATCAAACTTAGTGCAGCCTTTTGTTGTTGTTCAGTCACGTCCAACTCTCTGTGACTCCTATTTTGGGTTTTTCTTAGCAAAGATACTGGAGTGGTTTGCCATTTCATTTTATAGATAAGGAACTGACGCAAACAGGGTTAAGTGATTTGCCCAGGGTCTCATACATCTAGTAAGTGTCAGTAAGGTTGGATCTGAGGTCTTCCTGATTCCAAGCCCAGTGCTGTCTGCATTGTGCCATCTGGCTGCCCCATTAGTGAAAGCAGTAGATAATTAATGTTTATTGAATAAATGAAATAAGTAGATATGCAAGAAAACAAGTGTTGAGAGTTTGTGATTTTAGTATTGACCCAGATCCAGTGAAGTTCAAAAAGGTTTGTTCTATACGGCCTTTATTTTAGGAACTTAAGATATTGGTGAACTTTAGTATATTATAGTGATGTATTACAACATGATTAAATTATATATTCTAATTTGATTATATTTCAGGTTCAGCTGTCCTAACTCTTCTTTTGGCTGGCTATTGGGCACAGCAGTATTTGCCTCTGCCTACTCCTAAAGTGATAGGCATTGACCTTGGTACCACCTACTGTTCAGTTGGTGCATTTCTTCCTGGCACAGGAAAGGTGAAGGTCATTCCAGATGAAAGTGGTCATAATAGCATACCTAGCATGGTATCTTTTACTGAAACTGATGTTCACGTAGGATATGATGGATTGGAGCTGGCAGATTCAAATCCACAGAACACAATATATGATGCCAAACGATTCATAGGAAAGATTTTCACCCAGGAAGAGCTGGAGACAGAAAGTAGTAGATATCCATTTAAGGTAAGAGATTATCCAATAAGTCTGATATCTCCTTTACCTCCATTGACTCTGAGATAAAGAACTTGTGTGATTATAAATTCTTTGTGTGTGTGTATGTGTGTGTGTGTGTGTGTGTGTGTGTGTGTGTGTGTGTGTGTGTGTAACTGGTTCCTATACTGTAATTGATCTGTGGACAAGGATTTATTAAGCATCTACTCCAGGTACTATGCTAGGTCATGGGGAGCATTTACATATATATATATATATATATACACATATATAAGTTATACATAAGTGAGGAGGAGAAGGGCGCACAACCTAGGTATTAGGAGTACAAGGGGTGTCATGTATAAGAAACAGTAGGAAGGCCAGCTTAACTGATTTATAGGATATGTAAAGGGGAGTAATGTATAATAAGGTGGGAAAAGTAGGTTGAGACCAGGTTGACAAAAAAGAGAAGTTTATATTTGATCTTTAAGCAGTGGAGAACCAGTGGAGTTTTTTGAATAGGGGAATTACGAGCTGGGGAAGTACCTCCTTTAGGGAAATTACTTTATCATCTGCATGGTGGATGAATTGGAATGAGGAGAGGTTTAAGGCAGGGAGATCAATTAGGAGGCCATTATAACAATTCAGGTGAGGAAAAAATGGAGGACCTGGATTGGCTTGTGGCTGTATGAGTATAGAGAAAGAGATGAATGCAAAAGATATTGTGAAGGTAGAAACGGAAAAAGTTTGGAACTTTTTATCTGTGGGGTGAGTGAAAGTGTAGAGTCAAGGATAACGCTAAAGATGAGAACCTGGGTAACCTTCAGTGGAAAGCGAGACAGAGCATCGGTCCTGGATTCAGGAGGACCTGAGTTCAAATCCAGCCTCAGACACAACACTTACTAGCTGTGTGGCCCTGGGCAAGTCACTCAACCCCATTGCCTAGCCAAAAAAAAAAGAAGAAGAGGAAAGTGAGACAGAAGACAAATGGGTCTTGAGGAGAAAGGTAATGAATTTAGTTTTGAAAGTTTTTGAATTTTAGATGGCTCCAGGACATCCAGATAGAAATTTCCAGTAGGCAGTTTGTGATGTAGGATGGGAGTTCAGGAGAGAGACTAGGAATAGATTCATAGATCTGGAACTCACTGGGGATACAAGACAAAAATGAAACAGTCCCTATACTCAAGGAATATACATGTGCATATATAATTATATGCATAATTATACAAAAAGAATACAAGGTGTTTTCGGGATGGAGTGAACTAACTGCTGGGAAGAAGGATCAGGAAAGGCTTCATGTAGAAGGTAATGCTTGAATTGAGTTTTGATGTTAACCAGAGATTCCAGGTGGTGGAGGTAAAGAGAGAAAGCATTCCAGGCCTGGAGAAAAGCCATGGAAGTAGGAGATGGAATTCCTTGACAAGCAGGCAGTATAACTGAACTGCAGAGTTTACAAGGGAGTAATGTATAAAAATATAGGAAGGAGTCATGTAAAGAATTGCTTAAAATACCAGACAGGACTTCATATTTAATCCTAGAAGTAATAGAAAGACATTTAAGTTTATTGAGTAAGAGGTTGATTTGGTCAGATTTGGGCTTTAGGAAAATCACTGACAGCTATCTGAAGGATAAATTGGAGTGGAAAGAATCATCAGAGAAATTAAATAGGAGGCTATTGTAATAGTCCAGGTGAGAATCAAGTCAACAAGCATTTATTAATCACCTGTATGTTCCGTGAGTTGTGTTAAGACAGGAGATAAAAAGAAAAGCAAAAACAGTCTCTACTTCTGTTAGCTCAACAGGAGGGAGTACCTTGAGGCAAGGGAGAGACAACTGGAAGGAGGAATATTCCAGCCACATGGGATAACCAGTTAAAATGCATAGAGTTAAAAGATTGAGTGTCTTATGTGAGAAACAGCAAGAAGGCCACTATTTCAGAGTATATGCAAGGGAATAAGCATGGGAAGGTAGGAAGGGAATAGGTTATGAAGGGCCACAGGGGTCTCACAGCAAGGCCTAGAGCCCCAGGACAATCCACTAATGAAGCCCTGCCTCCTTGAAAGACAGCAACCCTGGAGGCAAGCTAGTAGTCCCAGACCAACAGCCCAATGAGGCCCCTTTCCCGGCACAGGCCACCAACCTGCCCCATCCCTGGTGCCAGCCATCAGTGAAGCGCTGCCCCCAGTTCAAGCCAGCAGGGAGATTCTGAGCCATGGCATGAAAAGCCTGGGACGGTACAGGAGGAGAACCCAACTCTTATGTAAAAGCACAAAGTCACAAAATATGCAGAAAAAAATTAAGTAAAACAAAAAACAAACAAACAAAAAAAGAACTTAACTATAGAAGGTTACTATGGTGATAGGGAGGATCAAGGCACAAACTTAGAAGAAATTAACAGTGTCCAAATAAAAAAATGGCTACATTTGAAGTCTCAAAGGAAAATGTAAGTTGGTCTAAGGCCCAAAAAGAACTCCTGGAAGAGCTTAAAAGAGTTTTTAAAAGCAGATTATAGAATTAGAAGAAAAATCAGTAAAAGAGAATCATGAAAAAAGAGTCAACAGCATGGTAAAAGAACCACCAAAAAATGTAAAAAGATTAAAAAAAATCATTGAAGTAAATAATTCCTTAAAAAGCGGAATTGGCTAAATGGAAAAGGAGATACAAAAATTCACTAAAGGAAACAATTCCTTAACAATTAGAATTGGGCAAGTAGAAGCTAATAACTCCATAAGACTTCAAGAAATGATAAAATCAAAAGAAAAAAATGTGAAATTTCTCATTGGAAAAACAACTGACATGGAAAATAGATCCAGGGGAGATAATTTAAGAATCATTGGACTACCTGAAAGCCATGATAAAAAAAAAAAAGTCTGGACAGCATCTTTCAAGAAATTATCAAGGAAAGCTGCCTTGATATCCTAGAACCAGAGGGCAACATAGAAATTGAAAGAGTTCACTGATCACCTAAAAGAGATCCTAAAATGAAAACTCCTAGAAATATTATAGTCAAATTCCAGCACTCCTAGGTCAAGGAGAAAATGCTGCAAGCAGCCAGAAAGAAATAATTCAGATATCATAGAGCCACAGTCAAGATTACACAGGATTTAGCAGCTTCTACATTAAAGAACCAGAGGACTTGGAATATGGTATTTCAGAATATGGTATTTCAGAAAGCGGAGGAGTTAGGATTATAACCAAGAATCACCTACCCAGCAAAACTGAGTGTAATTCTTCAGGTGAAAATAGTTATTTAATATGATAGAGGACTCTCAAGTGTTCCTAATTAAAAGACCAGAGCTAAATTTTTTTAAAAAATTGATCTTCAAATACAACACTCGAGAAACATAAAAAGGTGAAAAAGAAATAAGAAAGAGAAAACAGAGATTCAATAAGGTTAAATTGTTTATTATATCCTATGTTATAAGATGACATTTGTAACTCTTAAGAACTTTATCACTATAAGTGCAATTAGAAGGAGTATATACACTGACAGAGGTGTAGGTGTGAGATGATTATGATGAGATGATATCTAAAAAAATAAAGTTAAGGGGTGAGAAGGAAGCTTGCACTGTGAGAAGATGGAAGGAGGAGATAGAATGGGGCAAATTATCTTACATAGAAGTGCGAAAGAGCTATTACAGTGAAGAGGAAGATGCAGGGGTGGGTGATGCTTGAACCTTACTCTCATGAAAATGGGCTCAAAAAGGGGATAACATACACTCAGTTGGTTATCAAAATCTATTTTACCCTATAAGGAAGAAAAAAGGGATGGAGATATTGGGGAGGTGAGAACTTATAGAAAGGAGGGCAGATTAGGGGAGGCACTGGTCAGAAGTAAAACACTTGTGAGGAGGGACAGGGTGAAAGTAAGAGAGAGAAAGACAAGGGAAAAATAGGATGGAGGGAAATATACAGTTATTATCAGAACTTCAAATGTGAATGAGATGCACTCATCCATAAAGCAGAAGCAGATAGCAGAATGGATTAAAAACCAGAATCCTACAATATGCTGTTTACAATAAACACCTTTGAAGCAGAGAGATACACACAAAGTAAAGGTAAGGGACAGGAGCAGAAACTATTATACTTCAGCTGAAGTAAAAAAAGAAGGGGGTAGTAGTCATGATCTCAGACAAAGCAAAAATAGATCTAATTAAAAGAGATAAAGAAGGAAACTACATCTTACTAAAAGGTACCATAGACAATGAATAGAAGATTTAAGATATCAAGACTAAACATATGCAACAAATGTAAAGCATCTAAATTTTAAAGAAGGAGTTAAATGAGTTACAGGAGGAAATAAACAGTAAAACTATCCTATTGAGGGAACTCGACTTTCCCCTCTCAAAGCTAGATAAATCTAATCGTTATATAAGAAAGATATTAAGAAGGTGAATAGAATTCTAGAAAAGTTAAATATGATAGATCTCTGAAGAAAATTGAATGAGAAAAAGAAATGTACCTTTTTCTCACCTATATGTGGCACCGACACAAAAATTGGCCATTAAAGACCTCACAATCACATGCAGAAAAGCAGAAATATTAAATGCCTCCTTTTCAGATTATAATGCAATAATAATTACATTCAATAAAGGACAGTGAAAGATAGATTATAAGTCAATAAACATTTATTAATGCTAAGTCATAAGTATCAGGGTGGGGTTTATGCCAGGAAAGGCTGCTTCAATATTAGGAAAACTATTAGCATAATTGACCGTATCAATAACAAAATCAACAGAAATCATATGATTATCTCAATAGATACAGAAAAAGCTCTGACAAAATACAACACCCATTCCTGTTAAAAACACTAGAGAATAATAGGAGCTTACCTTAAAACAATAAGTAATATTTATCTAAAACCATCAGCATTATTTGTAATGGGGATAAGCTAGCAGCATTCCCAATTAGATGAGGGTGAAGCAAAGATGCCCATTATCATAACACTATTATTCGATATTGTACTAGAAGTACTATCTACAGCAATAAGAGAAGAAAAAGAAATTGAAGGAATGCAAATAGGCAATGAGGAA